TATGAAACACGCCTCGATCAAACAGAGAAATGCTAGATGAGGTAAGGTGAGGTGACACGGAGCTTAACGTCACGTTAAAGATTGTCACACTGCGTGTGCGTGCGTGCGTGCGTGCGTGCGTGCTTGCGTGCGTGCGTGCGTGCGTACATACATGCTTGTACTAGTCCAGTCAAGGAAGTAAGCTCGAAAAATAGTCTAAAGGTTAACACCACTCATCTGTGAAGAACCCATAAAGTCTCGTTACCTTGAAAACTAGATCAGATTGGCGTGTGCGCATGCTTCCGTGCGTGCGTGGCTGCTTGTACTAGTCCGGGCTTATGCTTGTTTTGTATTGCTAGCCCACTAAGATACCATACCATAATTTAACATGGTTAACCCACATAGACACATTATACTGACTGTCCCAAATGCGTAGATGGATGCTCAAAGACGCCCATCTCTCGATTGTCTGGCGCGGACTCATATAGCTGGAATATTGCTGAATGCTGTGTTAAACAACAAACAAACACAAATACTACACCACCACCACTACTACCACAACTACCACTGCTGCTACTTTGAGTGGGGGCACAGTCGTCTACGACTGCAGTTCACTGTGCAGATATGCGTCCCTTGGACTCGCCAAGAGCCTATGATTCTGGGTTCGAATCTCGGTTCGCCCTAATTATTTATTCTATTTCTAGATTTGCCAGCACCTTACCCGCGCTCGTGGGTTTCAGCAAAGTGGTAATCGTCCGTCTTTTTCTCCCATATTTAGCCGTGATATATCTGGAATACTGTTAAACGTGGCGGTTAACACAACTCACTCACTCACTCACTCACTCTGTTTATGCTAGGAAGGCATGTGGCAAGATTCTGTGAGCTCATCAACGGGAATGAGGGGCGCGGTAGTGTCAAGAAGTGTTGTTTTTTATCCCGATTGTGCTTCTGTCTCTGCCTTCACACACGTTGTCAAAGTGTAAACTGATGCATATCATGGTCATATTATACCGCTTTCTTCACAACCCCCTTAAGTACATCAAATATCTTGATATGAAATGTGTTGGGTCTCGACCTAGAGCATATGGAGGGTTTCACTCCCTGCTGCTGTATTCAATCCTTGCGTGTTTTGTCACATCGCTTGACCTCTACTGACAGTAAATGTCACCCTCTTGTCTCCTTTTGTGAATGAGTGAGTATGGTTTTACGCCGCTTTGATATCACGGTGGAGTACACCAGAAATGGGCTTCACACATTGTACCCATGTGGGGAATCGAACCCAGGTCTTCGGCGTGACGAGCAAACTCTTTAATCACTATAGGCTACCCCACCGCCCCTTGTGAGGCTCCGTTACGTGATGTGGACCAGCCTTACTTTTTTAAACACAATTCGCTAATCAGACCGCCGTTTGATTGTGAACAGCTGGAAATGCACCAACTGCGAAACCCGCTGTAATCCTCACTGCCAGATGAATCGATGAAATACACGTTTTCAGTTTTGTGATTAGCCGGTTATGACTGACTTATTCCCACTTTGCATATGAGCTTTTGGGCCTTGATCCCCCAAATAAACAATTCATTGTAATGTCAGGTTTGATTTATTGCAAAACTGGACATTCACAAACAAAGTTGAGTGCATGGTGGCAAAAATAATTACCCCATTGGTAATTTTAAGCTTTCGAAAGGACAATACATTGTTGTCTGAGAGGGTTGTTTGGTTGTCCTGCTCCCTGGTTGGTGTAGACCATCTGTTGTTCTTCACCGTTCCAGGACCACCTCCTAGTCTGCGGAAGTCACTGGCGCCAAGGAGGTAATTCGGTGCTTCGGACATTAGTACTAACCCATCATATATCCATATACCAGTGTTTTTGTCTTGAGTTTCCTGGCCTGTGAGAAGTTGGAGAGACGTTATGGAGGACTTCACTTCATGAAAGGGTTATAACAAACAGAAACTTGACGCCTGCTTCGGCTTAATAAGCCCCACCACAAACGTCCTCTTCAAGTAAACTACTTTCAATAAAATAGCCATATAAAAATGGCAAAGTTATCGCAATGGTACGGAGATGATTTTGTCCGGAGCTTCATGGGGTCTGATTTGGGCTCAGTATCAAAACTGAACAGAACCTTCTTCACTCATGTACATAGCATAACGAGGAGTTTATAGAGATCTAATGTGTTATGTCATGGCAACAAAGTTAACACTATTTATATCTTAATGTAAAAGAAATATGGCGACAATAGTTAGACAGTTTCCTCAAGATAGATATGGTGTTTACTTGGAAATAGATTCATCATTTAAAAAATTGGCGGTTTATGTAATAATAGTGGCAGGAACCTTTTTCAGAGTTAAACATATAGTGTTACTCGTCTGTAATGTCATTTGGGGAACACAGTACATTTTCTTTCTATAATGTGAATATGTTTCCATTCACCTGTTTTAATAGGAAGATAATGAAAAGAAATAAAACAAGTTAAACTAATTTTACCTTTACCAGAAAAATGTTGTAAATACAATTCAATATCGGTATTGTCTTTAACTGCCTTGTAAAATCTGCTTTTGGTGGATGTGTCTAGGTCTGAAAACGATTGTTTGATAAGTAGATCTTTTAGATCACTCGTGATTTTGTGCCGAAACCAATCGATATATTTAAAAAAATGTGCGTCACTGGCCACAGAAATCCTTGAGTTGTAGCAGCACCCTAGGTGTTCTAATAACCCCATGGCGTGCGTTGCCCTAGGAAACCGCGGCCGTCGATCTGTTAGCTGCGGTACAATCGTCCGTGCCACTAGTGTAGTCTAAATCAGTGTTTTGTTTCATATCCAAGGTGTAGTACGTTACTTTGTCGTGACTACACATAATGCTGCACTTCAACTCCCTCCTCACTCCTCACTCATGTTATACTAGACTCAACACATTCCAGAGTGACTGAGTATAGTTTTACGCCATATTTTAGCAATATTCAAACAATATCACGGCGGGTGACACCAGAAATTGCCTTCACACGTTGTACCCATTTTGGGAATCGAAACCGGTCCTTCGGTGTGACGAGCGAACGCTTTACCTACTAGGCTACCTCACAGCCAACACGTATTTGAAATGGCTGTAGCGTTAGTATGGAACATCGAGAACTTGGACTCTCGGTAATTGTTTAAACTGATTTCACGTTCCTTATTTCAATCTTTCAGGGGGGCACGGGTGGCCCAGTCATCTAAGGCGCCGTGATTCGCTGTGCGGAGTTGCATCCCTTGGGCACGCCAGAAACCTATGATTGTGGGTTCGAATCCCGGTTCGCCCTGATTATGTTTCTAGGTTTGTCAGCACCATACCCGTGCTCGTGGGTTTCACCGAAGTGGTAAATGTCTAATACCTGCATCACTTCGGGTTTTCCTCCCACATTAAGCTGACACGCCGCGATATAACTGGAATACTGTTAAAAGCGGCGTTAAACCCAACTCACTCACTATTTCAATCTTTCATCATCAAATAAAACTTTTTTACCAAATCAACTCGATATGTTCAGTGTTTACCAAATGAATGAGTTTTACATGAAGGTTATTTCTTTACATATGTTACGCCACCACGACATATATAATAAGTTGTAGGAATATGCTATCGATTTGTTCTCTTCTGTCAAACTCCAATGTCATTGGAAACTTTTCATGATGCATCTCTCCCCTGCGCTGTACTGAAATCACAGCAGACCATACCAAAGGATGTTTTTCAGTGTTATTTACATGTACATATTCATTGACATAATTATAAAGAAATCCTGTTACAACAGAAAACAACAACGAGTTTACGAATGAAAAAAGGTGTCCCGCCATTCTAAACAACGGATAAATACGTGAACGTAAATTCATTGAAATTTTTTTATGTTTAGAAAATTGTAATTATTGAAATAATACGAAATCAGGTGAATGACGCCTACAAATGGTGTTTCGTTATGATGTATATGGAGTGATGGCCCTTAAGTTGTGTGGAATTATTGATAGGAAACACGTCTCGATCAAACAGAGAAATAATAGGTGAGGTAAGGTGAGTTGACGTGGAGATTAACGTCACGTTCATGATTGATGCACTTTTATCGCAATCTGCGTGTGCGTGTGCTTGTGCGTGTGCATGTGCGTGTGCATTAGCGTGTGCTTGCATGCATGCATGCGTTGGTGCGTGCTTGTACTAGTCCGGACCTTTACCGGTTTTATTATGCTAGCCCACTGAGATACAATGCCGCAGTTTAGCATCGATATCACACATAGACACATTAAACTCAGACTCCGAGCCGATCAGTCCTTGTTTTATCCCCATAATGCAGCGCGCAAGACAAGTACAATCGTTTAAACGTATTTTGGTATGACACGGCCAAGAGATTGAACCACCGATCTTCCGCTATCCGGGCAAACGTTCAGACTTCCAACATTATTTTGGACTTTAGAAGGGAGACAGGTCTATTTCAAGACCATCTTGCCTCGGGAAGATGTTTCAAGACATTCGAAGGTAATTCTGATATTTCAAGGAATTCTTGATATTCATGAGTACACTGACATTAATTATAAGGTTTGTTACTTTTTGCTGAAGGCTTACAAACGCTGGCCAAGTGTAAACTGATGCATATCATGGCCATTTTTTACCCCTTATTTCCCAACCCCCTTACGTACATCAAGATATCTCGATATGAAATGTGTTAGGGTCTCGAACTAGACCATATGGTAAGGTTTCATCGCCTGCGGCTGTATTCAATCCTTGGTTTTTGTCCCATTGCATGACCTGTGATGGCAGTGCATCTCGCCCTGTTGCCGCCCTTTGTGAGGCTCCGTTTGGGTGATGTGGACCAGTACTATGTTTTAACGCAACACGATGTCGGGTACACAATCAAACAGCTTGAAATGCACCAATTGCGAAACCCGCTGTAACCTGAATCCTTACTGGGAGATGAATCGATGGATATACACCAATGTTTTCGGTTAGGATTGGTTTATTCTACCTTTGTCTATAAGCTTTAGATCCCCAAAATAAACAATCAATTGCCATGTCAGTAATGATTTATTACAAAACTGGACATTCACAAACATAGTTAATGACTGCGTGGCAATGATAATCAGCCCATTGGTAATGCCGCGATTTCCAGAGGACAAGACAGCGTTCTGTTAAATGGTTATTTGGTTCTCCCGGTGCCCAGTTGGTGAAGATCATCCGTTGTTCTTCACCGTTCCACGACCACCTCCCCGTCTGGCGGACGTCACTGCCACCCAGGAAATATAGTGGGGCTACGGACATTAAAAGTACACACATACATAGACAAAGGCTTTGTCCAGGTTAAGACAAAGAAATATATGCTTTGACATAAAGATAGAAATACTTGTTTCCTTGACATACATCCATATGTTGTATCATTATTACTATCTGACGTCAATTATGATTTTCTTATGTGGGCATAGAAGTAGAACATAAATTTAACACCATTCAACAAAAGGCACTTCACGTAAAATCGGGTTAACCTCTGCATTTCATTTAGAAATCTACTACTACTACTTCTACTACTACTACTACTACTACTACTACTACTACTACTAGGTCTTCAGCAACCCATGCTTGTCGTAGGAGGTGACGAACGGGATCGGGTGGTCAGGCTTGCTGACTTGGTTGATGCATGTCATCGTATCCCAGTTGCGTGGATCGATGCTCATGATGTCAGTCACTGGATTGTCTGGTCCAGACTCGATTATCTCCAGACCACCGTCATATAGCTGTAATGTTGCTGAGTGCGGCGTTAATCAACAAACAAACAAAACCTAGTAACTGTTCAGCATAAAACATCAAATGAATATTCAGCCAAAAATACCTGATTGATATTCAGCATATAACACCTTGTTGATATCCAGCACATAAAACTTACTTAATATTTAGCATATAAATCCGAGTTAATATTCAGCATATTCTGGTTTATCATCGGAAATAACCCTTGAACTCACCTTTTCCACGAACCAGCGCAAAATGCCTGATGAAGTCATTCTCATCTTTACTTGTCACCTTGGCAAGGTCACTCTTCAAATATCGGCACATGGACTGAAAGGAACAGTCACAGCCAGGTAAAGTTCAAAACCCACAATCATCTGTTACAGTCTTTACTGGTAGCAGTTGCTGTTCGCGTTTAGATAATATCACTGTGGTTTAAGTGAGCAAGATGGATTTACCAGATGGACATGAATAAACGTCTGCACAAAATAGAACCGACCAATTCAAACACAAACACCTTTTTTCTTCCTGTTCCTGCACATTCTATCAAAGCAGGTTACTGTAATATTGGTGTGAATAAGTACATACCGAATCCACTCCGGTGTTACTCATGTCAACATTTTGGGCATGACGCCCAATCATGTACCAACAGAAAGAAATGTCATCGATGTGGAGAACCTGCTCATGAAACATTAGACTGCTCAAACAATCCCAAATGTACAAACTGCTCTGGGGAAGACGTTGCATCTTCCAAATCTTGTCCTGACAAATGCCAGCTAAATCCCAGACAGCGTGTATCGAAGGGACACGGCGACCCTATTCAAATTTATAATAGGTTTCAAACCTTGGAGAACATCCTAATGGGCGCAACAGAAGTCAGTCGCCTCGAAATGGGAGACGTAGATCTCCTGTTCATCCACCTGTAACTAAAACATTATGGATCCACTGATTCAGTGGAATTGCAGAGGTCTCAGGACCAATTTTAAGGAATTACATTTATTAATCCATTGCATGAAACGAACAAAATACTGCCCTAGGTCAAGCGCACGATACTGCAACGGGAGCTGATAATATTCACTATCAGCTCCTGAAGCATTTGCCTGATTCATGTTTAGAGACACTTCTTGATATATTTGATCAGATCTGGACGTCAGGAAATTTTTCGCCTTCGTGGCGTAATGCAATGGTTGTTCCCATATCTAAACCTAGTAGGGACCATACTGATACATCTAATTATCGACCATTATCACTCACCACCTGTGTGTGCAAAAGCATGGAACGAATGGTAAATAATCAACTTCTGTGGTACTTGGAAACCAACAATCCCATAAGTAACATTCAATGTGGTTCCGTCAAATTAGAAGAACCATTGACCATCTGGTACGTTTAGAATCTTTTGTCAAAAATACAATTGTCAATAATCAGCATGCAGTATAAATCTTTATACTGATTTACTGCATTCTACTGATTTAGAAAAAAGCGTATGATACCACATGAAAGTTTGGCATTTTAAAAGATATACATGATTAGGGGTTAAGAGGCCGCTTGCCTCAATTTATATCCCAATTTTTATAGACCGACAATTTCAGGTTCGTGTGGGTTCCACTCTGTCTGACTTTTATAATCAGGATCAGGGTGTCCCACAAGGCAGTATTTTGTCTGTAACTCTTTTTAGTATAAAGACTGATCGTCTGTCCAAAGTTTTAAATGATTCCATTGATGATTCCCTTCTTGTGGACAATTATAATATTTCATGTCGTGGCTAAAATATGAATAACCACAGAGAGACAGTTGCAGCTATGTCTCAACAAACTCCAAAAATAGTGTCTTGAAAATGGTTTTAAGTTTTCAAAAGCTAAGACCAATTTTATTCATTTTTGTTGGAAATAAAATCATCATAAAGATCCTGAGCCTTTTTTACATGACACTCCTATCAAGAGGCCAAGTTCCTGGGTCTTATTTTCGATCAGCATTTGACTTTTAAGACACATATTAATTATCTCTAAATTAAATGCCTAAAGGCCCTAGATTTGGTGAAAGTAATACAAAGTGGGGAGGTGATCAGACAACCCTCCTCCTTTCTGATCCGCTCTAAATTAGATTATAGTTCCATCGTTTCTCCAGATTCAATTCACCATCAGGGCCTAAGATTATGTCATGGCGCATTTTGAACATCTCCTGTGGATAGCCTATGTGTAGAAGCTGATGAACCATATTTGAAGAAATGGCGTATCAAATTATCGCTTCAATACATTACAAAATTACATTTTAGACTTTACTCTTACACATTTAAAAAATTAAGACACAAGTCAATTAATATATCAACAAGAATATATACAAGTTAGAACTAAATATGAATCCCATCGTTTCATGTTTACAGATGGATCAAAGGATGGTGGCAAAGTCTCCAGTGCTGCCATGTTAACGGCTTTGAAATATATTAAAAAACAGTCCAGCTGCAAACGGTTCATCATCTTTTCAGATTCACTATCTTGTCTACAGCCAATAAAATCGAGCTCTTCAAGTCATCCTTCATTTGAAATATTTTAGAACTATACAATGACGTTGCTACTGGCCAATACGACAACGTCTTTTGTTGGTTGCCCAGTCATGTTGGAATCGCAGGTAACACTATGGCTGATGTTGCTGCAAAGTCAGTTCCCAAGAAATCTCTGACACCAATTCTTATACCTTACAGTGACTACAAGCCTGTCATTAGGTGCTATATCAAAGATCTAATGCAAAAGAAGTGGGACACCTAAGAAGGTACTAATTACATGCAATAAAACCAACTATCGGTTAAACCTACTAGGGTTGTCAGTCCAGATTTGAAGAGGTCATTATACTACGATGTCGTATTGGCCATTCTCTTTGTACACATGAATCCTCCATTCTGTGTCCCTTCTGATTAAAAGAAGCACAGTCAAGCATATCCTGCTTGACTATTGAATTTTCCATCGCAAGGGATAATTATTTCCAGGTTTTATCCATAAAGGATCGTTTTAATGTAAGTTATCATTTAGTTCTTGGATTTTAAAAAAAAATGAGTTAATAGATAAATTCTAATTATATGTATTGTAAAAAGTAGGTAATTCTAATTTGGGAGAATGATTATATTACTGAAGGGGGCTGAAGTAACATAAAATAATTGTCCCTCTGAGAGGGCAGTAAGTCCCATCTCATTCAAAGTATGTTTCATTTTCCATGCTTTTAATTGCAGAATACTTGTTGGTTTTAATTGCTTTGGCTTAAAACTTATGAACAATCACCAGTAACCAGAAGAGTGGTGTAAATTCTGCTTTGGGTACCACGCAGGAAGCGGATGTACCGTAAGTCCCCGTCGTCCCTTTGTATGGTGGCTTAACTTTGATCTGGTGATCTTTTGCCATGTTTTATAATGTATTGTTCTGAATAGTCAAAACTTTATGGTTACTTACTAGTTTTATTTTTGTAGTTGTGATACTCTAGTTCATTTACTGTCCTTTGTCGACAGGTTTTATAGTCTATATTTATGCATTATTTCTGTATAACCTGATTAAGTCACGATATATGACTATAAATCTTAACTAGCTCACTCACCGTATCTCCGTATTCCCTTTGGTAATATCTGTACAAATGTAAGTACACGATAAAAGGTTGTAAGGGACACTGTATGTCTCCAGATGGACATTATAACATGTCATGTAAAGTAACAAAACATGTCATTGCTATACTATTGCTATTTTTGTTTTACTTAACCTCTTGTTCAAAAACTTGAAATCCGAAAACAAAATCAGATTTACCCGAGCTTCCGAGAAGGATCCTTTGGTTATGGAGAACCAGTAACATGATCTCTTATGTCTGACAAACCCAAGGGGGCATCGGGCTCCTGTTGGAAAGAACAACAATGCAATAAATATACATGAATTGTTGAATTAAAAGTGCTAAAGACAAAAGATTAAATCCAAGATTTCAACTACGTCACCTTGTACTTGCATAAACATGCAAACACCGACAACCATCAGAGTGAGGACTTGGTGTGGAGCCATTGCAGATGACATCAGGATAAAGCCGGATAGAACGTTAATCAAACATTTATACTAGATGCTAGGTGTGAAGGTATTGATTTCAAAAGTGGGAACGGACACATGTTGATGAAACGTGGTATAGTGATCTGTGATGTGTAACATCTAAACTGACGATCAAAATATAGTATACCGAAACATAATTTACGTTAATAGAAGGTTAGATAGGTCTACGTATTGTTCAACGTGACGTAACAATTTAAACATTGTCGCGATGCTGCACATGTAAAATGACATTATGATGCAAAACTTAACTGCACTTGATGCATGACACCCGCACACAGGGTATTAAGCAGCGCCATGCACTCGAAAGTGGATCACCCGAAAACATGACATGGTTAACTGCTGAACAACGAGAGAGGGCAACTCCATTGTTGTGAACTGGACGAAAACGACGATGAGCAGGTTGACGAGGCGTCACAACAGCCAAAAAAGACCACGATCTCCTCCCCTTGTACCTACTCTTAAGTGCCATATTAAAGTCCACACGATGGCCGCCTTAGTTAAGCTGGGGGTTTATTAACGACATCTGACTGCAAAAGGTTGGTCCTAATTACATTTTAGGGGCACTGTAATGAAATTATTTGTCTGTATTAGAATTTGTTTTGTTAATAATTTGTATCATGTCCGTATGACTGTAACGAATATTTCGCTAAAATCAAGTGATTTGATAACCTTGTGTCAAAAATTGATGTATTAAAAAAGGCAATACGTCTTTAACAGCAGAATATATCGTCTTATACTGTAACATTTGAATTATACGATAGGCCATTTCATGTGATTCGAGATAGAACACACCAAAATATGTATTCCGTTAAGGATTGAAACTTATTCCTTAAAATGTTAGTTAAACATATCTTGTATGTGTGCAAACACATTTGAAATATTAATGGAATGTTTTCTTCAACGGATAACGAGACTGGTAATGCTACGGCGTTGAAGTCTATATTTACAGAGTAAATACGGTAATCATTGACTAGACTGATACACATGCACTCACCTCATTAAAAAACAACTCAACCCCTTCTATATTTACAAGAACCGAGTCGATTGTAGGATTCCGCTGATCTCATGAGCATGTGTTTATGTATCACTTAGCTGTTATCTTGATCAAACCTCTTTTGAGCAAGGGTTGCATAGCGTTCTTTGAAACCTTGGTTGAGTGAACCCGAATGCTCGATTGTTCCTCAAAAGTTGTGCAATGTAAACACCAAGGGCTTGAGCTGCAGGAATTCTGCTCGACATAAGGAAAAGTTTGAAACTTCGAAAGTTGAAGACATACCTCTTGTCATGCAGTCTTGTGGAGAGTTTTTGTCACTCTGAATCTTAATACAAAACTATAATACTAAAAATAATCTAAATATGAAACAGGTGAGGCGATTTAAATGGTCACTTGTAGTTATAGCTCAAGTTGATAAATCAGTGGAAGTGAATTGGCTATTTAACCGTTTTTGTACGATATCAGATCATCGATACATCTGAAGTTGAAGTTAAACTTCTTGTCCAAATTACCTTGTCTGATTTTGTGAATCCGAGGCAGATTATCAGTGAGAAGAATTTCATGGATTTATTTTTAAGGACCACAACATGTATGGCCTGTTTCTCTATAAGATGCTGGTTTGGAGACATTCTTTGTCGCTTTATAAACATCAGGTGCACACACCTTAAACTACAGGTTATGAGTGAGAATTATTTCATGAATATCTTTTAAGGACCACAAACTGTATGTCCCGTTCCTCTTTACGATGCTGGTTTCAGTAGAGCGGGACATACTGTCTCCCTTTGTGAACACCGTGTGTTAGCATGGAGACTTTCCAATTCATCCCTATATTCTGTATAGTCCGCGTATTATTTTGTAAGCCCATGTATGGCTTTTTCGAGAAATAGAATTAATAATGCTGGGAAGAGAACAACAAAAGGTTACCCCGAACAGCAGGTGTATTATCTTGTATTGTATCTCGTATTTGATTTGCAACAGTATGGTGTACGCTATCGATTGCATGCAGGAACTGACACATTCTGCGGAAAGATCAGATAAAATGTCCTTGCTTAATTACCGTGTCTGACATACGTGTGATATCAATTATCTAAGCCCTCAGCTGACAAGCTTCAAATGCAATATGAGTAGTTGACACTCACGAAGTCACACCTTTGTCCGGCAGCTGGGTCCGTTCTGTCAAACATGGGGTTGGTCAAGTGCCATGCAAACACAGCGAGGTATCATCAGTGCTGCAGTTTTAGCATTTTAGTTTTGTTTGTTTGTTTGTTCGTTTGTTGTTTTACGCCGCACTCAGCAATATTCCAGCTATATGACCGCGGTCTGTAAATAATCGAGTCTGGACCAGACACTCCAGTGATTAACATGAGCATCGATCGCAATTGGGATTCGATGACATGCATCAACCAAGTCAGCGAGCCTGACCACCCGATCTCATTCGCCTTTTACGACAAGCATTGTCGCTTTTTACGGCAAGCATGGGTTGCTGAAGACCTATTAGCATTTTAGTATTTCACTCTTTCACTCAGTTCACTCAATCGAACAGATGGTGTAGTTTTGGGCGAAGACATTAATCCTGCCTCTATTGAGTTGCAAAACGAATACCTTAAACGTTTTTTCTTTACTTATACTTACTTATAAGCAGTGGAATCTCTGAACTTGTACACAGTAGACGTAATTCAAAAGTAACATGTCGTTTTTATTAGTCTCAACAAAATCAGTACATGCACAGTCGTGTCACTGGATTTTCTGGTTCATTGATCACTTGATTGTCTGGTTTGTCGCCTGGCAGGAGTACAGCTGTGCGGCGTCAGGCAATAAATACTTACTTGTTTAATGACAGTTGTGTGAATGGCAGGTGCTGCCTACAGAGTAGTTCATGCATACCCTTTTCACGAACACCTAGTGTCATCACTGAGTTTCAGTGATCATTCCATATAACTGTCACAGCTCTTTTGCCCTTTACGCCAAATGTGACCTGTTTCGATGGATAATATATATATATATATATATATATATATATATCTTTCTCAAAAAGAAAGAAGTACTATTATTTAAGTTTTAACTGTCCCGATGAAATCAACTGTTACAATCAGTTGTTTGCGTCCAGGAAATAATTTCCTTACAAATATCAGAACTTTCTGATAAAACGTCTAGCCGCCACCACAATGTAAATGGAGAAGTTGCGCCTCGGAGATCAGAAGTGGTATCAATCAAAGTTATAATTTCGACACAAACTCGTAGATTTCAGCTATTAAATCGGAGATGTCTACTCAGACATCAGGGATGGTCTACACAGATATCCGGGATGGTCTACAAAGACTACAGGGATGGTCTACACAGACATCAGGGATGGTCTACACAGACAACAGGGATGGTATACAAAGACTACAGAGATGGTCTACACAGACATCAGGGATGGTCTACACAGATATCCGGGATGGTCTACAAAGAGTACAGGGATGGTCTACACAGACATCAGGGATGGTCTACACAGACAACAGGGATGGTCTACACAGACAGCAGGGATGGTCTACAAAGAGTACAGGGATGGTCTACACAGACATCAGGGATGGTCTACAAAGACTACAGGGATGGTCTACACAGACAACAGGGATGGTCTATACAAACATCAGGGGAGGTATACAAAGACTACAGAGATGGTCTACACAGACATCAGGGGAGGTATACAAAGAATACAGGGATGGTCTACACAGACAACAGGGATGGTATACAAAGACTACAGGGATGGTTTACACAGACAACAGGGATAGTCTACACAGACATCAGGGATGGTCTACACAGACTACTGATATGGTCTACACAGACAACAGGGATGGTCTACACAGACTACATGGATGGTCTACACAGACAACTATGACGGTATACACATACTACGGAGATGATCTCCAAAGACTAAGGCGATGTTCTTCAACGACTACATGGATGTTCTACACAGACAACAGAAATGGTCTACACAGGCAACACGGATGGTTTACACAGACAGCAGGGGTGGTCTCTAAAGTCTACAGAGATGGTCTACACAGACTAAATGGATGGTCTACACAGGCAACACGGGGGGTTTACACAGACAACAGGGATGTCTACACAGACTAAAGGGATGGTCTACACAATCCACAGAGATGATCTTTCTAGACAAAAGCGATGGTCTACACAGACAAGAGTTATGGTCTATAGAGACACCAGGTATGGTCTACACAGACAAAAGGGATGGCCTACAAAGTCTACAAAGATGGTCTTTTGTGCATGTTCAAAAGACTGGTTGCGACCGAATGGGTTTTACGACCGCTCTGAAACCTTGTGGCGACCTCAGTGAAACCTTTCAGAGATCCGTGAAACCTCATTGCGATTGTCAAATATTTTGGTCGCCAGGAGGTTGCATCGCGGTCGCATTGTCTGTGTGACTGAGACTTGACTATTTTAAACCATATCAAATCGGTATGTCCAGTACTTACCAAGTAAATGTGTTTTCCGGGAAGGTTATTCCGTTACATAAAGCGACAAAACCCTTTCCATATCCTATAGAAATCTCTGTACAAAGCAGAGTCGAGTGTACGATTCCGACTATATCATGAGAATGTGTTTATGAAACACTATAAAAGTCACATATCATATGTCATATACTGCGCCACCACGACATGTATAATATGTTGTAGGAATACGCTATCGATTCGTTCGCTACTGTCAAACTCCAATGTCATTGGAAACTCTTAATGATGCATTTTTCTCTTGCGCTGTACATCCCATGTAACTTTTCAACTTGATTAAGACTTTGCTTTGAATAAGTTATCCTACTTCAATCGCAAACACCGACGATATAAGAATACAAAAGTACATCAACTCGGTCTGTCCAGAGTTTGGCAAATAATTGAGTTTTATATGAAGGTTATTTCGTTACATATAATGCGCCACCACGACATACATAATATGTTGTAGGAATACGTCACCGTTTTGTTGACTACTGCCACACTTCATGTAATGCCACTCTTTATGACGCATTCCTCTCTTGCGCTGTACTCAAATCACAGCAGACCATCACATGTGATTTTTCAACTTGATTAAGACTTTGCTTTGCATCCTACTTCAACCGCAAACACCGACGAGTATAAGAATACAGTAAACTACGGTTATCACGAACACGCTTATAACGAACTGGCAGGTATAACGAACTGGTTTTTAGGTGCCTGCCATTTGCTGTTTATATGCAGTATATATGCTTATAACGAATTACGGTTATAACAAACTAGAATTAGTGGTCCCTTTGAGTTCGCTGTAACCGTAGTTTACTGTACAAAAGTACATCAACTCGGTCTTTCCAGAGTTTAGCAAATAACTGAGTTTCATATGAAGGCTTTTTCGTTACATTTAATGCGCCACCACGACATACATTAAATGTTGTGGGAATACGCTATCGATTTGTTCACTGCTGCCACGCCTCACTTCATGCCACTCTTTATGACGCATATGATGCGCTGTACTCAAATTCTAGGAGGCCATGGTAATGGAAGTCTTCCAGTGTGATTTACATATTGTTTTACATAATTAGAAAGATATCCTACTACAACAGCAAACACGGACAAATATAAGAATGCATAACTACATATGTTGGTGAAACCGTCCCGCCATTGAAAACAATGGATAACTACGTGAGATTAAATAGTTTGTGACGTTTCATGATAATAACTCTTATATTCCTTATTAATCCTTTCACGAAATATGTTTACCTAACTTTGTAGATATTTCAAAATGAAATGGAGGATACACATTTGTAGTTTGTTGAATAGGCCGTGTCACATGTCACTTCACACTGTGTGCTAGCGGTACTCGGTTGACCGCAAGAGCTGGAATAGTTTAGGAGTGAGTAAACACGGTATAAAGCCGCCTCTCACACTATTCAAATCAAGTGTATCAATTAGTTGACAGAGTCCGCTGTCTGGCAGGGTTTGTTAACCAATAATGTTGGAAGCCCTCATATGATTTTACTGACCCGTGAAGATTCCGGGGTAGAATAGGTTTTTAGCAACCCATGCTTGCCGTGAAAGGTGACTATGCTTGTCGTAAAATGCGACTAACGGGATCGGGTGGTCAGGCTCGCTGACTTGGTTAATGCATGTCATCGATCTCAATTGCGTCGGTCGATGCTCATGATATTAATCACTGGATTGTCTGGTCCAGACTCGATTATTTACAGACCGCCGTCATATAGCTGGAATATTGCTGAGTGCGGCTTTAAACAACAAACCAAGCAACCAACCATAACATTTTACTAGCTCCATCGACACTATTTCCGGCTATGCTTTTCCTTCTCGAAAACAATGCACTTTGCTACTTTTGACCGATCACCTTTCTCGTGGCATCCTTATTCTTACCACCATCGACAGCTGCAAAAAGTTTGGATTGTGACATTCTGACAGACAAATATTTAGTACAAGGAATAATGTTATCTCATTTAAAAATATATATCCACAAAATAAAAAGTAAAAATTCAATTAAGATAATCTAGACTTGTGTTGGGTTATTTCTTTAATGTAGTATCTAGGGTCTGGAGACTAACATTCTGAATTTCTGACTAGTGACAGGATTTTATTTGACAGAAAACGATGAACGATGTTCACATGTCATCCGGAGGTCGCCATTTGCAATATGTATTATAACGTCTTGAGACCATGACGCTGAACAACGGGCAAGCTGATTGGCTGCTTGGTGCTAAACGTTTGTCTGACGTGTGGTGGTTCTTAGACTTTCACACGCATCGCTAATAACGCATGTACTCGTTTAGCAGTCATATTCAATGTATGCAGAAACCCAGTTTACTTCTCCGCGTTGGTTTCCGATCAAATACGTATACGCAAACACGGACAAATATAAGAATGCGAAGGCGTATATGTTGGTGAAACCGTCCTGGCATTGTAAACAACGGATAAATACGTGAGAGTATAAATACTTTTTGACGTTTCGTGGTATTAACTCTAAAATTCTTGATTAATCCTTTCATGAAATATGTTCATCTAACTATGAAGATATTTCAAAATTAAATGGATGATAAACATTTCTAGTTTGTTCAATAGACCGTGTAACATGTGACATGACTCTGTGGCATATGTACTAGTTCGACAGCAAGGACTGGACATAGTTTAGGAATAAGTAATTACGGTTTTAGGTCGCTTTTCACTTTATTCAAGCCATATCACGACGGAGGACATCTAGAGTTGACTTCACACACTGAACCCGTGTTGGAATACAAACCCAGGCGTTCGGCGTGACGAGCAAACACTTCACCCCACCAGGGCCCCACTGGCTCGGACAACAACATGAGGTGGAGTGATAAACAAGAGGCGCGATCCGACAACTACAAGAAAAAGTGTTGGGGATGATAGTATGTTGTGAAAATTGTAATGATTAAAATAATACGAAATTATCTGAATGTCTCCTACAGAGGAGGATTTTAATGGTGTTTTGTTAACTATTTATGATGTAGATGGAGTGATGCCCCTTTAGTTGTGTGAAATTAATGGTATGAAACACGTCTCGATCAAATAGAGAAATATTAGATGAGATAAGGTGAGGTGACATGGAGTTTAACGTTTCACTGCGTGTGCCTGTGCGTGTGCGTGTGCGTGTGTGCGTACATACATGCTTGTACTAGTCCAGTCTTTTATGTATTTAACATGACGTAACCAAGGGATCCAACCACCGATCAATATTTCGGAGTGCGGCGTTAAACAACAAACAAACAACCGATCTTCCGCTCTCAAGGCAGACGTTCAATCCACGGAAGTAAGCTCGAAAAATAGTCAAAAGATTGACACCACTCATCTGTGAACAACCAATATTGTCTCATGACCTTGAAAATTAGATCAGATTGACGTGCGTTCGTGCCTGGCTGCTTGTACTAGTCCGGAGTTATGCCGGTATTGTATTGCTAGACCACTGAGATACCATACCATAATTTAACATGGTTAACCCACATCGACACATGAAAATGATTATCCCAAATGCGTAGATGGATGCTCAAAGATGCCCATCTCTCGATTGTCTGGCCCAGACTCGAATTTGTACAAACTGCGGTCATATAGCTGGAATATTGCTGAGTGCGGCGTTAAATAACAAACAAAAATACTATATCACCACTACTAATACTACCAGAACTACCACTGCTGCTGCTACTTTTAAGGGCACAGTCGTCTAAGGCTGCAGTTCACTGTGCAGATATGCGTCCCTTGGACACTCCAAGAGCCTATGGTTCTGGGTTCGAATCTCGGTTCGCCCTGATTATTTTTTCTATTTCTAGATTTGCCAGCACCTTACCCGCCCTCGTGGGTTTCAGCAAAGTGATAATCGTAACCGGTTTTTTCTCCAACATTAAGCCGTGCTATTACTGGAATACTGTTAAAGGTGGCGTTAAACACAACTCACTCACTCACTCACTCTGTTTATGCCAGGAAGGTATGAAGCTAGATTCTGTGAGCTCATCAACGGGAATGAGGGGCGCGGTAGTGTCAAGAAGTGTTTTTTTTATCCCGATTTTACTTCTGTCTCTGCCTTCATACACGCTGCCAAAGTGTAAACTGATGCATATCATAGACATTCTATACCCCTTGCTTCACAACCCCCTTAAGTACAGCAAAATATCTTGACCTAGACCATATGGAAAGGTTTCACCCCCTGCTGTTGTATTCAATCCTTGTTTTTTGCCACATCGCTTGACCTGTACTGACAGTAAATGTCACCCTCTTGCCTCCTTTTGTGAGTGAGTGAGTGAGTGAGTATGGTTTTACGCCGCTTTGAGCAATATTCCAGGGGCGGAGTACACCAGAAATTGGCTTCACACATTGTACCCATGTGGGGAATCGAACCCGGGTCTTCGGCGTGACGAGCAAATGCTTTAATCACTAGGCTACCCGACCGCCCCTTGTGAGGCTCCGTTACGTGATGTGGACCAGCCTTACTTTTTTAAACACAATACACTATCGGGCAAACAATCAGACCGCCGTTTGATTGTGAACAGCTGGAAATGCACCAACTGCGAAACCCACTGTAATCATCACTGCCAGATGAATCGATGAAATACACGTTTTCAGAATTGTGATTAGCCCGTTATGACTGGCTTATTCCCACTTTGTATATGAGCTGATGGGCCTTGACACCCCTCCCAAAAAACAAACCCAACAACAACCAAAAACCAAAACCAAAAAAAAAACAAGCAAAAAACACACAACAACAAACAACAACAAAACAACAAAAACAACAGCAAACAAACAAACAAAACAAAACAAAACAAAACAACAATTCATTGTCATGTCAGATATGATTTATTGCAAAACTGGACATTCACAAACAAAGTTATTTGCATAGTGGCAAAAATAGTCACCCCATTGGTAATTGTAAGCTTTCGAGAGGACAATACAATGTTGAGTGAGAGGGTTGTTTGGTTCTCGTGGTCCCCAGTTGGTGTAGGTCATCTGCTGTTCTTCCCCGTTCCACGACCACCTCCTGGTCTGGCGGAAGTCACTGCCACCCAGGAAGTAATTTGGGGCTATGGACATTAAAGGTATACACAGACAAAGACTTTCTCTTTGTTAAGACAGATCAAGGTAGAACAAATCTTACATATCGATTGAAAGACATGTTTCCTTGACATATACAGTGGAATCATGTTATCTCGAACTCTGTTATCTCGAACGTATTCTCCGGTCCCTACTGCGTTGCTATATAAACGCATATAAATGTGCCTGCTTATCTTTAATTCTGGATACAAATACATTGTTCACTCGGACCCAACTTTGGACTTATTCGTAGCTCATACAACAAAATACGCGCTTCAAGTAGATTGCATACTAAGAGTAGAATTGAGTTGGTTTGTCACGTTTGATGAGGAATACTGTTATGTGGCAGTGGAGACTGTGAGTAATTTATGCTCGATCGTTCGAGACGTTTCGGCGTGGGACAGTTTCCAGAAGGCTGGCTGTACTTATATAAGAGGACACGGGGCGATTGAAGGCATTTTACAACCTGACTTATGTCTTATCTACTTGACAAGTTTTGGATTGGATGCCTGGTTGTAAGCAACGAATTCCTGCCACCTCCAAAGACTATGCTAGAATCAAGAACAGAGATATTCAAGACATTTCCTTATTACTGCTACCACTTATTAGACGCATTGTATTGCCTTGTTTGATTGTGAAGATAAAACTGTGTGTTTCAATATAATTCATTGAGTTCGCATGGTTATTTACTGATTTTACAATTTCGTTTCTGAACGAACCGATTTCGGGATTAACCTCAGCATTTTAATTGGAGATCACCTCGTACACTACTACTACCCCCAACTGCGATATATTACCATATCACATGGGCATACCCAAAGCACGATACAATTATTATCCCGGTCAATGGATCAGTGTGCACTGGATTTCATTCTCAGCTCCCTGGGAAGTATACAACCCAAGCTGGCAGTGAGGCGTTCAATTTCACATTACCATCTCATACTACCGCGTACCAATTCACTGCTGGGTGAACAGGTTTCGAACAAATTCACTTGTCCGAGGTGACACAACATGTGCTACATGTGTTTCAGTGTTTCAGTGTCACCCATCCAACAACTTTCTGCAACCAATGTTGCTGTGTACAGGACCACGTACTACTGCTACTGCTACCACTATTACAACTGACACCGAAGACAAAGGTATATCATATTTACCAAGACGGCTACTATAAGAATATGTCAAATGGTGTTGGAAATGGAAATTAAAACTAACGTGGTCAACTAAAAAGAACAGTTTACCAGTGAGTTTGGTTCTTGAGATAAAGACTTGATTCTAACACAAAGTTAATATTCAACATATAACACCTAGTTAGTATTCAGCATATGTTAGATAATCGTTGGAAACCCACTGTCAACTTACCTTTTCCCCGAACCAGCGCAAAATGCCTGAGGAAGTCATCCTCATCTTTACTTGTCACCTTGGCAAGGTCACTCCTCAAATATCGGCACATGGACTGAAAGAATCAGTCAAGGGTAATTGTTACACCTTATAATCCTCTGGTTACTATCTTTAGAGGTAACAGTAAATTTTGATGTTGACAATATCACTGTGGTTTAACTGAACAAGATCGAATTACCATGAATAGACATTTACACAAATAAATGGAACCAACTAATTTATTGCCTCACAACGAACCTTCTGTGGTGTAACATCCGCATGCCGCATACCTTTTAGTTTACGTTCCAAAACATACAACTGCAAAATACCTCACTACTTTCGACAACAGTATAATAATTGATTACGGTTACAGGCACTACAATAAATTTGAAAATTAGTGATGATGGTAACACAATGATTATATCTTACGTTTACCCATCGGGCATATTTATTAGAATATATATAAGAATGATTATGTTCGATCCATAGGTCAAAGTAGGTTATAATCACTATGTTACAATTATTACTAACCGTATTCAGTTCTATCGAAAGTAGCGAGGTAGTTAACAGTTGTCCGTAGAGGAACGAAAACTAAACGACATGCATCATGCGGATGGTACATGTTACTTTTACAAAACAAGTGCAACCTTCATGTTTGTGTGTAAGTTCCACAACTTCATTGTTTCATTCCTATTCTCAGATCTAACCAGATGAACCCCTACTCTGATTCAGAGATAGAAACCAATACATTAGTGCACAATTTTTTGGAGAGCTTGTCTTCAAATTCCACACACACATAGGGAAAGATGGGAAAAACACCACCCCTTCTCTATTTTCTTATCTCCCGTACATCCGTGTATCCTTTGGTTATATCTCCATAAATGATATTTTTCTTATGTAGATAAATGTGTAAGAAACCACATGATGAAGCGTTGGTGCAAGAACACCGTTTCTCCAAATGGGCACAGACACACTCGTGTGAAAAGAAGTCCAAGTAGCAATTGGAAGGTCAGTCAAATAACTACATGTATTACCATTGAATAATTTCTCATGTAAATAAAAACTAAAACGTTTCGCAATAAAATATATAAGAAAACGTTAACAAAAAATGATATATAAATGTAAATAGTGGATCTACCCGAGCTTCCGGGAAGGATCCCTTGTATGTGGAGAACCAGTAGCATGATGTTTTATGTCTGACAAACCCAAGGGGGCATCGGTCTCCTGTAGGAAAGAACACCAGTGCAATATTATAATTATCTTACAATAAAAGATGTTTTGTGTGATTAAACTAAAGATTATAACAACGTCACCTTGCACTTGAGTCAGCAGCCCGAAACCGACAACCATCAGAGTGAGTACGTGGTGAGGAGCCATTGCAGTCGATAACGGGGTAATGCTGGATAGAACGTTAGTCAAACCTCTATATACAAGATGCTAGGTGTGAAGGTATTGATTCGACAATGAGAACGGACACATATTGATGAAATGTGGTATATTGATCTTGTACATGTGTTGCACCTAAAATGACGATCAAAATATAATGTACATATTGTTATGTGTCTATTCCCAAATTGAAACAATATGTTAACCCAGACATCTGTTCGTAAAAGAACTTAGTGTGAAACCAATCAACAACCAACAAATGGTATACAATTAACAAATAAACAATTGTATTACAAAATTATCTAGGTTTACAAATCAACACAAATTACTGCACAGCAGTTACAATGGCAGTACACAATAGTGTGGTAGTACAATATCAAATGGCGGTATATAATATGATGACAGTGGTCAGTATCAAATACAAAAATACAGTGGTTGTTGCGCAGTGGCATATAAACTATTAACAAAATGCGAATCCCCTTACTGTTGTATGCGGGGAACTAAACGTGACTCTTGATATTGATGAAATAATTCAGATAATAAATTCGGGGAACTAAATGTGACTCTTGATATTGATGAAATAATTCAGATAATAAATTCGGGGAACTAAACGTGACTCTTGATATTGGTGAAATAATTCAGATAATAAATTCGGGGAACTAAACGTGACTCTTGATATTGGTGAAATAATTCAGATAATAAATTCGGGGAACTAAACGTGACTCTTGATATTGGTGAAATAATTCAGATAATAAATTCGGGGAACTAAACGTGACTCTTGATATTGATAAAATAATTCAGATAATAAATTCGGGGACCTAAACGTGACTCTTGATATTGATGAAATAATTCAGATAATAAATTCGGGGAACTAGACGTGAATCTCTTCTTAATTAGATGAAGAAATGTAAATTTGCAAAAAATGAACTAAATATGAGTCTCAAAATCTATTGCTATTAACCTTTCAGTCTAGCCCTATTTTGGCTGGCATTGTTTCGTCCTATTGCGACGGCGTATCTTAACTAACCTGTTCTACTAGCTACGTCCTTCCTTGACGAGCTTTAAAACGACATTGTTGAATGTACTCCTATCGCGACGACACATCATGCCAATCTGACTTAACTCGAGCAAGTCCGATTTACCTCGTTTAGCACGTGAAATACACTGCAATATAACGATATAGATAATCAACAGATAGTAATCGATTGTTCAACATTTGCCCACATCATTTTCTCATTGACCCAGGTTTCATTGAACAGTAGATACTCAAGTTGAAGGTCATTTGGGCTCAATATCTTGAATGGCCACCATTATAGTCCAAAACTGACTGGCATCGTCCTCCAATGGAAGCAATTAGATCCCGAGAGTAGAGTATATGAAGAGGACACTGAAAATCAGTGATTACAAATGGTGTTCGCGAAAAGGGTAAGCATGTCCTTCTCTACCAGTAGCACCTGCCATGCACACAATTTGCATCAAAAGGTAAGTATTTATTGCCCGATGCTGCAAAACAGTACTCCTGCCATGCGACAGCCACCTGTAAATAAACCAGACAATCAAGTGATCGATGGACCAGAGAATCAAGTGACATGATAGTGCATTTACTGAATTTGTTGAAACTAATAAAAACGGCATGTTCATTTTAAAATACGCAGCTGCTGCTTATAAGTCAAGAAGAACGTTCAAGAAATATATTTGTCTTGCACATAATCATTATATTATCAATTATCTACTGAAAAATTGTTAACAACCCTAAAAAGTCAGGAATGTGAAAAGAAACTTTAAAAATGTCTTATTCTTTTATTATTTTAACGCTGAGTGTATTTGAACTTAGTTTCCTGCACGATTGTCAAGTTTTCACACTCCATGTTCATTGCTATTTGTGCAAAGACATGTGATTATTCTGTAATCAGTGTGATGTTCATAGGTGTAAGCTGAAGGTATGCTAAATTTAGGCTCAACGATATGAAGCCCATTTCCATTGAATGTCAAAAGGTTGTAAAACGTGTTTCGTGTGAACATAAGACATTGTGAGGTGAGGAGACGTTTAACGTCGCGTTCAAAATACCATTGGGGCGGTCGGGTAGCCTAGTGGTTAAAGCGTTCGCTCGTCACGCCGAAGACCCGGGTTCGATTCCCGACATGGGTACAATGTGTGAAGCCCATTTCTGGTGTCCCCCGCCGTGATATTGCTGGAATATTGCTAAAAGCGGCGTAAAACCAAACTCACTCACTCACTCACTCACTCAAAATACCATTGCACTTGTATAGCGACGTGCAGGCTTTTGGTATGACCTTCCGCTCTCCGGGTAGACGCTCTACCCCTAGATCACAGAGGTGGTCTGGTTGCTGTAATCTTTGACTAGGTGAATATACATGAAACGCAGTGGCACTTACCTTACAAGGCAGGTCATAGGTTATGAACTATTTCGAGAATTGTTTTTTAAGGACAAGAACATGTATGTCCTAGTCATCTCTAAGATACTGTCTCCCTTTGTGAACATCGGGTGTTGGTGGGGATACTTTCCAATTCATCATTATATTTTTATTGCCTGTGTATGGCCTTTTTGAAAATTAATAAATCTGTCATAACAGTAAGAGGAGAACAGCAGAGAACAGCAACTCCAAAGAGCAGAAGTTTTATTTTATTTTTTTTGTAAAAATGTTGCCACTCTGCTTGTGTGGGTCGTATTTCATATGCAACACTAAAATGTACTGATATTGATTTTGCGTATATGAACTGACATATTCTGCGGAAGGTCCTCACAAACGTTTAATTACTGTGTCTGACGTACCTGTGATATCTATGATCTAAACCCACAGCTGCCCATCTCTCACAACCATGAAGTCACACGTTTGTGCGGCAACATCAGGATGGAAAAGGGCCATGGAAACACAGCTCAGTTTCATCAGTGGAGCAGTTTTAGCATTTTCGTTTTGCACTCAAGTACAAAACCGTGGAAGGGACATGATAAATAAACAAAACGAGGCAATTTTATCTGAGGTAACGAATTAATGTGTTGAAGCCACGATGTGGTATCTAGAGGTAATGACTTAAAACTTTGAAGCCACGAAGTATCTAGACTACAGGGATAGTGTGTCTAAGCTACAGGGACAGTCTGTTTTGACTACAGGGATAGTGTGTCTAGACTTCAGGGATAGTCGACCCACACTACAGGGAGAGTAGTCAACCCAGACTACAGGGATAGTGTATCTAGACTACAGGGATAGTCTGCCTAGACTACAGGGATATTGTGTCTAGACTACAGGTATAGTCTGCCTAGACTAGAGGGATAGTGTATCTAGACTACAGGGATAGTGTGTCTAGACTACAGGGATAGTGTGTCTAGACTACAGGGATAATCTACCCACACTACATGGATAGTCTGCCCAGGCTTCAGGGATATTGTTTCTAGACTACAGGGATAGTCTGCCTAGACTACAGGGACATTGTGCCTAGACTACAGGGATAGTGTGTCTAGACTACAGGGATAGTGTGTCTAGACTACAGGGATAGTCTGCCCAGACTACAGGGTAAGTGTGTCTAGACTACAGGGATAGTGTGTCTAGACGACAGGGACAGTCTGCCTAGACTATAGGGATAGTGTGTCTAGACTACAGGGATAGTGTGTCTAGACTTCAGGGATAGTCTACCCACACTACAGGGATAGTCTGCCCAGGCTTCAGGGATATTGTTTCTAGACTACAGGGATAGTCTGCCTAGACTACAGGGACATTGTGCCTAGACTACAGGGATAGTGTGTCTAGACTACAGGGATAGTGTGTCTAGACGACAGGGACAGTCTGCCTAGACTATAGGGATAGTGTGTCTAGACTACAGGGATAGTGTGTCTAGACTTCAGGGATAGTCTACCCACACTACAGGGATAGTCTGCCCAGGCTTCAGGGATATTGTTTCTAGACTACAGGGGTAGTGTGTCTAGACTTACAGGGATAGTCTACCCAGACTACAGGGTTAGTGTGTCTAGACTACAGGGATAGTGTGTCTAGACTACAGGGATAGTGTGTCTAGACTACAGGGATAGTCTGCCCAGTCTACAGAGTTAGTGTGTCTAGACTACAGGGATAGTGTGTCTAGACTACAGGGATAGTTTGTCTAGATTACAGGGATAGTTTGTCTAGACTCGGGGGTAGTGTGTCTAGACTACAGGGATAGTGTGTCTAGACTTCAGGGATAGTTTGTCTAGATTACAGGGATAGTTTGTCTAGACTACAGGGATAGTGTGTCTAGACTACAGGGATAGTGTGTCTAGACTACAGAGATAGTTTGTCTAGATTACAGGGATAGTGTGTCTAGACTACAGGGATAGTTTGTCTAGATTACAGGGAAAATCTACAGGGATAGTCTCCCAGACTAAAGGTAGACTTGTTTAAACTGATGTCACGTTTTCTATTTCAACATTTGTGAAATTACTTCTTCATCACATAGAACTCTTCCAACCATATCACCTCAAGTGCTTACCAAGAAAATGAGTTTCACATGAAGGCTATTTCGTTTACTTACATATACTGCGCCACCACGACATGTATAATAAGTTGTAGGAATACACTATCGATTTGTTCTCTACTGTCACTCCAATGTCATTGGAAACTCTTAATGTTGCATTTCCCCTCTGCGCTGTACTCAGATCACAGCAGACCATGCATGCTAATGGAAGTCTTTCCGTGTATTTTACACATTGTTTTGCATACTTATAAAGACAGTTTAATACAACAGCGAACGCGGAAGAACATAAGAATGCAAAAGTATACCTGTTGGAGAAAAAGTCCCGCCATTGTAAACAAAGGATGGAAAGTGAAAGTAAATAGCTTTTGACGTTTCATGTCATTCACTTTAAACAATACTTTTAATTCTTTATGATATATATTCATGTAACTTTGCAGATACATTTAATTCGAAATAAAATTGATGATAAACATATATTTATTAAATAGGGTGTGTCATTTGTCATATCATGTTTTTGCAATGGTTGGAATACTGTGAGTGAGTACGGTTTTCGGTCGCTTTTCACGCTATTCAAGATATCACGACAGAGGACATCTGGGGTTGACTTCACACACTGTACCCATGTTGGGATACAAACCCAGGCGTTCGGCGTGACGAGCAAACACTTCACCCCAACAGGGCCCCACTGGATCCGGAGAACATGATATGGGATGATAAACAACTGGCGCGATCCAACTACAAGACAGAGTGTTGGGGATAATAGTATGTTTAGAAAATTGTAATTATTGAAATAATACGAAGTCATCTGAATGACGCCTACAAACGAGGATTTTAAAGGTGTTTCGTTAACTATTTATGATGTTTATGGAGTGATGCCCCTTTAGTTGTGTGGAGTTTAACATCACCTTCAAGATTGATGCGCTTATATAGCAATCTGCGTGTGCGTGTGCATGTGCGTGCGTGTGCGTGCATGCATGAGTTGGTGCGTGCTTGTGCTAGTCCGGACCTTTGCCGGTTTTACAGTGCTAGCCCACTGAGATGCAATGCCGTAGTTTAGCATCGATATCACATATGGACACATTAAACTCAGATTCCGAGCCGATCAGTCCTTGTTTTATCCCCATAATGCAGCGCGCCAGGGAAGTACAATCGTTTAAACGTATTTCGGTATGACACGGCCAAGAGATTGAACCACCGATCTTCCGCTGGGCAGACGTTCCAGCTTCCAACACTATTTAGGACTTTAGAAGGGCGACAGGTCTGTTTCAAGACATTCAAAGGTAATTCTGATAATTCAAGGAAATCTTGATATTCGTGAGTGCACTGACATTATTTATAAGGTCTGTTATCTTTTGCTGCTGCCATGTATGTGACCTTTCAAATTGTCTTTGTGATCGTTAACTGTGTGTTTAAACATAACATGTTAATGATTAATTGATCGTATGTGTTTATTTACTGATTTCACAACTTAGTTTTGTACGAACCGTTTTGTTAGGTTAACCTTTGCGTTTTAATTAAGAAATCACATCATAAAAACAGTATATTTGGCAAAGAATATTATACGACTCAAAGAGTGGTTGATCATGGAGATAATCCTAGGTACTACTACCACCACCACCACTACTACTACTACTACTACTACTACTACTACTACTACTACTACTACTACTACTACTACTACTACTACTACTACTACTACTAGTAATTCACCCGTTAAGATCCGGGTTAGAATAGGTCTTCAGCAACCCATGCGTGTCGCTAGGGGCGACTAACGGGATCGGGTGGTCAGACTCGCTGACTTGGTTGATGCATGTCATCGTATCCCGATTGCATAGATTGATGCTCATGACGTCAATGACTGGATTGTCTGGTCCACACTCGATTATTTACAAACCGCCGTCATATACCTGGAATATTGCTGAGTGTGGCGTTATACAACAACCAAACAAACAAACCAAACGAAATCATAAATCATAAAACCTTCCTCTTTATGCCAGGATTGCACGTAGGGAGATTCTTTGATTTCAGTAACGGGACAGAGGGGCGCGGTATGGTCCCGAAGTGTTTTATTAAATCCGGATTCTGGTTCTCTCGGCCTTCACAAACGCTGTCCAAGTGTGAACTGATGCATATCATGGGCATTTTATACCCCTTACTTCACAACCTCAAGCTATCTTGATATAAACTTTGTTAGTGTCTCGAGCTAGATCATATAGACGGGTTTCATTCCCTGTGCTGTTTTCAAGCCTTGGTATTTGTCACATGACTTGACCTGTGCTTGAGTAAATGTGCCCCTGATGCCTCCTTTTGTGAGACTCCGTTTGCAGGATGTGGACCAGCACTATGTTTGAACGCAACGCGCTACCGGGGAAAAACAACCAGGCCACCTTTGACTGTAAACTGAAGAAAATGCCCCAAGTAACCTGTGAGTGAGTGAATTGGGTTTAACGCCACTTTTAATAGTATTCCAGTTATATCGCGGCGTGTCAGCTTAATGTGGGAGGAAAGCCCCAGGTGATGCAGGTCTCAGACGTTTACCACTTCGGTGAAACCCACGAGCACGGGTATGGTGCTGACAAACCTTGAAACATAATCGGAGCGAACCGGGATCCGAACCCACAATCATAAATTTCTGGCGTGACCAAGGGACGCATCTCTGCACAGCAAATCGTGGCGCCTTAGACGACTGGACCACCCGTGCCCCCTTCATCATTGAGAGATGAATCGATGGAAATACACCGATGTTTTCTGTATTGTGATTAGCCGATAAGGATTGGCTTATCCCACCTTTGTCTATACGCATTTAATCTAAAAAATAAACAACCAAGTGTCATGTCAGTAATAATTTATTACAAAACTGGACATTCACAAATATAGTGAATGGGTTCGTGGCAATAAAAATCAGCCCATTGGTAATTGAAATCTTCCCAGAGGACAAGACATTGTTGTGTGAGTGGGAGATTTGATTCTCCTGGTGCCCAGTTAGTATACATCATCTCCTGCTCTTCCCCGTTCCACGACCACCTCCCATTCTGGCGGAGGTTACTGCCACCCAAGAAGTATCCATCAGCTGTGGACATTAAGAGTATACATAGACAAAAGCTTTGTCCAGGTTAAGACAGATAAGGTAGAATAAATCTTACATATCGATTAAAATACACGTTTCCTTGACATAGATGTAATATACATTGATACTACTTTAGCCATGATTTGGACATATTCGTTGAACATAAGTTTCACACCACACAACAAACAACACACTTCACCTTGTTAATATTCAGCATATTCTGATTTATCGCTAAAACAAAAACGCTAACTTACCTTTTCCCCAAACCAGTTCAAAGTGCACGAGGAAGTCATCTTCATCCTTACTCGTTATGTTGGCAAGGTCACTCCTCAAATATCGGCACATGGACTGAAATGAACAACCAGAGCTACCAGATAAATGTTAAAACTCATAATCCTCTGGTTACCAACTTTACTGGCAACAGTTGCTGGTCACGTTTAGTTTACCTGAGCAGGATGGAATTACCTGATGGAAAAAAATACACAGTGAAGCCAATTAATTCATAAAAAAACCCATCTTACGTACAAATTGCTGTAAATGTAAAATGGCGGCCAGTGTATGCACAGATGGAATCTCCTACTAGTTGTAAACCCTGAACATGCCCATCGAATGCATCTTATTCGAGAGCAACCCTTCTGTCTTGTGAATATGTTTGATCTAAAGTTTGTTTGTTTAACGCCGCACTCAGCAATTGTCCAGCTATTTGACGGCCGTCTGTAAATAGTCGAATCTGGATCAGACATTCCAGTCATTGACATGCAATGACATGCATCAACCAAGTCAAGGTTCCTGACCACCTGATCCGGTTTGTCGCCCCTTACGACAAGCATAACCGCCTTTTACGGCAAACATGGGTTTTTGATATAAAGGTCAAAGTAAGATATAACCACTGTGTTACGAGTTACCACCACTATTTCTCAACGTTATTGGTATTCTAAGGTCTATCCAAATGTACTCAAGGACAGAAAACCTGTGCAAGAGTGAATGACTTCAAATTTCACACATCCCTTATTGATTTTCTTACTTTTCCTGTACCTCCATGTACAATTTTGTAATCATTCGTCACCACTCGCCCCTTTCCGTAACCTGCAAGAAGACTCGTCCGCCTATCGATGAATGTTAATAGCGAAAATACGACAAACCAATCAAAATGCGCGTATGATTTCAAGTTCTTCGTCAAAGAATCCCTCAGAAATAATTTTTAATTTTACATATATCTTGCATTTAAAAATATACCCAAAACACAGTTAAATGTGTTCTATCATACTGTAAAATTCTGCATGTTCCGATGTGCTTTAAATTGCATCTGAAATATATATAATATATGGGAATATTTGTGAACCATTACGCAACGAGTGGACAATTGTTTTAGGTATGCCCGTTTGCGCTAAGACGGAACCCGGTCGCAAAAAATGGCCACGAGAGGGGCACGAGTCGCTAAACGGCTTGTCCCGGAATAACACGAGTTGGTCACGAATGTTTTGTAATATATCCAGAAATGCGATCGTAAACGACGTGATGAAGGGTTGGTACCGGAAGAGTGTGTTTCTCCAGATGCGCACAATTACAGCGGCATACGATATGATGCAGGTAAGCAGTTGTAAGTGTATCCAAATAGCTATTGGCATGGAGCCGTTACTATAGGTTGTAGCAGTGTCACGAGGAGTATGTGTCGTTTTATGCATCCCTCACTAGGTTTTATACCACTCGCCTCCGATTAGCGGTATGAAACCTTACGCGGGACGCACCCTGAGTGATACTGCCTCAACGAATTTATCTTACCGACATGTTTCAATCTGCCATTGTATTAGAATCAAAAGAAACTGAAAATTGATAGAAAACAGCACAGGCTAAGTTATGCGGTGTCATGTAACTAACTTTGACTCGAAAACAGCGTGAGGATTTTTGCTTCGAAGCGGGGTATAAGGGACTTATTCTCCCGGTGAGAAATCCACGTGCAGCCAGTTTTCTTCGTGGCGGGGTACGATAAGGTATGATAAAGTAAGTTATCGATTTCCCTTTCTGTATTCAATATGAGTATGTAATGTGACGTGTTTTGTAAGAAAATATATAAGAAAACGATTTTACAAATGGCTGTTACAACTGGAAATATTTGTGCTGTCTATATTCAAGGTGTATATATGTTGTCATCGAATAATACTCAATATGTCTATTGCTATTTTAGTTTTATCTTATTCCAGAACTTGAAATCCGAAAATAAAATCAGATTTACCAGAGCTTCCGAGAAGGATCCTGTGGTTGTGGAGAACCAGTAGCATGACGTGTTGTGTTTGACAAACCCAAGGGGGCATCGGTCTCCTGCAGAAACGAACAACAATGTAATAAATATACATGATATGTTGAATTAAGAGTGCTAAAGACCAAAGATCGCAACCCAAGATTACAACAACGTCACCTTGTACTTGCATAAACATGCAGAAACCGACAACCATCAGAGTAAGGACTTGGTGTGGAGCCATTGCAGTCCATATCAGAATAATGCTGGGTAGAACGTGAATCAAACTTTTATACAAGATGCTAGGTGTAAAGGTATTGATTTTGATATGAGAACGGACACATGTTGATGAAAAGTGGCATATTGATCTGTGATAAGTGTTACATCTAAAGTGACGATCAAAATAAAGTATGACGACACATTTTTTAGGAAACAAACACAATTTACGTTCCTGGGAGTTTAGACAGGTTCCATAATTGTCAAATTAATCGTCGTCGTAACCATAAATTGCTGCGTTTGGGCGATGCTTAACATGAAACTGACCGTACGTGAAGCATGCATATATGGGTATAAAACGGTGTCATAACAAATTAAGTCAACAGAAAACAGCGAAACACCCGAGAATAGCAAAAGGCTAACTGTTAAACAGCGAGAGAGGGCAAGTGGTATGGTGCAGTTGGGGACAGGGTAGGCACCCATCGCAATAATTATGAACGAAACCGACAATCACTAGGGTTTTTGCTTCAGATAAACTCATTGTCCACGTTTAACATCGCCCAAACGCAGCAATTTACGACGATGATTCATTTGTTACGTTACGTTTTACAATACTGGGACCTGTCTTATCTTCCAGGAATGTTAATTGTGCTTGTTTCTAAAAATGTTTCAGTATACTTTATTTTTATCGTCATTTTATGTGAAACATATCCCAGATCATTATGCCACGTTTCATCAACATGTGTCCGTTCTCATTTTAAAATCAATAATCTCGAGCGAGCATGCTGTGAAAGCTAGTAAGCTGTGGGCTTAGATATTATATAACACACGTCAGACATAGTAATTCAGCGTTTCGTGTGAACTTTCCGCCCTTCATATATGCTGTCAATGTCTATACACATTAATGTTGCATATAAAATACGACACGCACAAGCAAAGTGAGGACATTTTTACAATGAAGAGTAAAACATCTGCTCTGTGGAGTTTCCACCTGCTATGAAAGATTTATTCATTTTCAAAAAGGCCATACACTTGCTACACAAAACATAAGGACAAATTAGAAAGTCTTCATCCTGACACCCGGTGTATGGAGACAGTATGTCCCGGCCCAATGGAACAAACATCTTATAGAGGATCAGGACATACGTTTTGTGGTCCTTAAAAAGAAATCCTCGAAATAGTCCTCACTCATATACTGTAGTGTAAGATGTGTACCATGGCGTATCAGGTGAGAGGAAATGGAGTTTTATAATCGCGTCCATGATTATTGCACTTACATAGCGACGAACATGCACACGTGTGTGTGTGTGTGTGTTCATAATTATTGCACTTACATAGCGACGTACCGACGTACATGCACATGTGTATATATAAATATGTATGTGTGTGTGTGTGTGTGTGTGTGTGTGTGTGTGTGTGTGTGTGTGTGTGTGTGTGTGTGTGTGTGTGTGTGTGTGTGCTTATGCCGATATTATAGTGATACGCAATGCGGGAGTTTAGCATCGATACCACACTCAGTAGTAGTAGTAGTAGTAGTAGTAGTAGTAGTAGTAGTAGTAGTAGTAGTAGTGGTGGTAGTGGTAGTGGTAGTGGTAGTGGTAGTGGTGGTAGTGGTAGTAGTAGTAGTAGTAGTGGAGGTAGTGATAGTGGTGGTAGTGGTAGTGGTAGTAGTAGTAGTAGTAGTAGTAGTAGTAGTAGTAGTAGTAGTAGCAGCAGTGGTGGTGGTAGTAGTAGTGAGTCAGGGACTTTGGTTTAAAGCCGCTATTAACAGTATTTCAGTCACACCACAGCTTAATTTGGGAGGAAAGTCGGACATTGACCATTCTGGTGAAACCTACCAGCACGGGTATGGTGCTGACAAATCTAGAAATATAATTGGGCCGAAGCGGGATTCGAACCCATCACCATAGATTTCAAGGGATCCTAATCTTCACTACGTAGACGACTGGGCCCCCATTAGTAGTAGAAGTAGTAGTAGTCGTAGTAGTAGTAGAAGTAGTAGTAGTCGTAGTAGTAGTAGAAGTAGTAGTAGTCGTAGTAGTAGTACTATTCTTGTTGTTTAATACCTCACTCAGCAATATTCAAGATATCTGGCAGCGGTCTGTAAATAATCGAGTCTGATACAGATTGACATCATCAGCATCGATCCATGCAATTGGGATACGATGACGTGCATCAACCAAGTTAGCGAGCCTGACCACCAGATCCCGTTTGTCGCCTCACCTTACCTCACCTGTTATTGCTCTGTTTAAACGAGACGTGTTTCCCACCATCAGTCCCCCTCCTCACAACTAAAGGGGCATCACTCAATATATAAAAATTAATAGTTAACGAAACACCATTAAAATCCTCGTTTGTCGGCCTCATTCAGATGATTTCTTATTATGTCAGTAGTTACATTTTCCCACAAAATTATAGTATCTGTGTCACGGAACTGTGCTCCAATGATCAGGGTTGTCATAAAACAAGAATAAAGTAATTATGAAATCGTGTAATAGGTTCACAGGTTTATTACTAAAACTGTTAATTGCACCAAAAGACGGCAATAAAAGGATCAAATAGGCCAAATCTGCGCTGACAAAGAACACTGATTAATTACATCAGAGTACATACACAAGCGGCTTAGCTAAGGACTGTATTACAGTAATAAAATGAGAGTAGCTAAACAACATTTTGACGAGATATAGACAAGATGCACAAACATGCAATAAAGTCGATTGCGACCAATTGACACCTGAGGTAATTAACTCAAACTCAAATAAGTGTAACGGGAGGACTTAACCCTAAAATTAGTCACTTCAACAATAAAATGTTGTTCTCCGGAGCCAGTGGGGCCCTGGTGGGGTGAAGTGTTTGCTCGTCACGCCGAACGCCTGGGTTTGTATCCCAATATGGGTACAACGTGTGAAGTCAACTCTTGATGTCCTCCGTTGTGATATGGCCTAAATAAAGTGAAAGGCGACCTAAAACCGTATATACACTTACTCACTCCTAAACTATGTCAGGTCCTTGCGGTCAACCTAGTACCTCTGCCACAGTGTCATGTGACATGTTAAACGGCCTATTTATCAAACTACAAACGTTCATCATCCATTTAATCTTTAAGTATCTACAAGTTAGATTAACATACTTTATGAAAGGGTTAATAAAGAATTTTAGAGTTAATATCATGAAACGTCAAAAACTCTATACTATCACGTATTTATCCGTTGTTTACAATGGCCGGACGGATTCACGCACAGGACCTCTTTTATTCTTAAACTTAAACTATTTATTTGGACAGACGAGGTTGATATTGTTAAAAGAGTTTTATTTGACGTTGAAGTACTTTTTCAAAATGTGCAATACAAAAGCAGTGACATCAGTTTAAACAAGTACCGTCAGTCCGAGTTCTCACTCTTCCATATTACTGCTGTGGGCAGTGGGGTAGCCCAATGGCCAATGAGTTCGCTCATCGCGCCGAAGGACCGGCTTCGATTTCCCACATAGGTACAATGTGGGAAAGATGTCTTGTCATTTGTTTTCAAGCGTATGTACGTAACGTCATCGACCTACGTGAGGGACTCGAATCACACGAGCTAATCCCGTCCTCCATGAACATGAGAGTAAGTGAGTTGTGATAACGCCGCTTTTAACAGTATTCCAGGTATCACGCGGCGTGTCAGCTAAATGTGGGAGGAAAGCCCGAAGTGATGCAGGTCTTAGACGTTTACCACTTCGGTGAAGCCCACGAACACGGGTATGGTGCACAACATCCCTAGAAACATAATCAGGGCGAACCGGGATTCGAACCCGAAACCATAGGTTTCTGGCGTGCCCAAGGGACGAAACTCTTCACAACGAACGACAAGTCGGAGTACGAAAGAGTTTGTCAAAAGGGGATTGATACATTGACATTGTGAGCAGATCTGACAGATCTAATTGCTGCTTCCCGAGGCTGAGGGACAACTTCCATGGCTCACGTCATGGTCATAATATTTCAAAACAGCCACAATTTGGTTTTTGATATGCAAAGCATCCGAAATCGATGAACATCATATTTAATCAAATTAATTTCGTAAATGAGCATCAATAATACTTCACATATTGTAGCACTGGGAAATACAAGGGCCATTAGAGGTTTCTTCTGATAATATGGGTCTCAAAGGTTTCCAAGGTAACGACACGTGTTACTGAATATGAATAGATTAATTCATACACTTTGTCACCTGTCACAATGGTAAATATTCTCTCTTCGAAATATTGATCAAGTGAGCCAAGGAACAAAAGAAACTTTACCTCTCGGTTGATTCTATCATTATGTTTGATTTTCAAATGAAAATATCTTAAGTTATCGATATCATATCCAAAAAAGATGAACTGTGCTGACGCTTATAGTCAGCACTCAAAGAATAATTCTACATGCACATGTATGCATTGTTAAAAATATAATTTGATTTTCAACTTTTAAAGCTTAATTATATGTATTGGTATCTTTGACATCTTATCTTTGAAATCAATAAATTTGTCTTTGTTTTTTGCACAAATTTACATTTCAAACATAGTTCACATCATGTGGTTGCAAATTTATTTCGTACCCAAGTCTTCATTGAATCAATTTTGTACACTAATTGACCGAGTCACAGATTACGTTCAACGAACCGTTGCCGGAATGACTTATGGCAAACTAGACATAATCAATTTGAACAACAGTTCTTTCAATTTTCAATTGCATAAAAAAAAGAAGGTATACTTTCTTTTGCCACTCAGTATAGCCACATCGTATTGAGCGAAGTGCTTGGGTTGGCCTTCAGCAAGAAGTGTTAAATGAACAGGTTAAATGAACACATCATCCATGATAATTTATTTCAAAACAGAACACTCACAGATGAAATTAAAAATTCCTTGGCAGTGAATATCAGTCCATTTATAGTTTTGAAAAGATTTCATGATGTCGAGGCAGTTTTGCTTGTTTGCACCGTTTGGCTGACCAGATGCCCAGTTGGTGTATGTCATCTGCGTCTCCTCCCCCTCCCACATCCACATCCCCTCCAGGCGCAGGTCAGAGCCACCCAGGTAGTAGACATCAGCTGGGGGTCAGAGGTTAGTTCAATCAAGAAGAGTTACGGATAATCAATATAAGGGTGATTGACCAGTTTTACTGGGAGGGAAACCTCGACTCAGCTTCTGCTGCTGCCACCACCACCTCTACTACTTAAATCACATGGCTTATATTCACCTTACAACCCCTCGCTCACATTCAGGATACAACCCCTAGCTTATATTCAGGATACAACCCGTCGCTTATATTCAGGATACAACCCCTAGCTTATATTCAGGATACAACCCGTCGCTTATATTCAGCTTACAACCCCTGGCTTATATTCAGGATACAACCCGTGGCTTATATTCAGGATGCAACCCCTGGCTTATATTCAGGATACAACCCGTCGCTTATGTTCAGCTTACAACCCCTGGCTTATATTCAGGATACAACCCCTCGCTTATATTCAGGATACAACCCCTCGCTTATATTCAGCTTACAACCCCTGGCTTATATTCAGGATACAACCCCTAGCTTATATTCAGGATACATACCCTCGCTTATATTCAGGATACAACCCCTGGCTTATATTCAGGATACAACCCCTGGCTTATATTAAGCTTACAATCCCTGGATTATATTCAGGATACAACCCGTGGCTTATATTCAGGATACAACCCGTGGCTTATATTCAGGATACAACCCGTGGCTTATATTCAGGATACAACCCCTGGCTTATATTAAGCTTACAACCCCTGGCTTATATTCAGCTTACAACCCCTGGCTTATATTCAGGATACAACCCGTGGCTAATATTCAACATATATCACTTGGATAATATCTGATTAATATTCAGCACAAAACACCGAGCTAATATTCAGCATTCAGCATACAGTTAATATTCAGCATACAGTCCAAAGATCTTATTCAACACACAAAACGTAGACACAATAATATGTAGCATATAACAGCTAATTTATATTCAGCATGTAACACCTAGTTAATATTCAGCATATAACACCTAGTTAATATTCGGCATGTAACACCTAGTTAGTATTCAGCATATAACACCAAGTTAATATTCAGCATGTAACACCTAGTTAGTATTCAGCATATAACACCAAGTTAATATTCGGCATGTAACACCTAGTTAGTATTCAGCATATAACACCAAGTTAATATTCAGCATGTTACACCTAGTTAGTATTCAGCATATAACACCAAGTTAATATTCAGCATGTAACACCTAGTTAGTATTCAGCAGATATTAGTTTATTGTTGGAAACCCAACGTCAACTTACCTTTTCCCCGAACCAGCGCAAAATGCCTGATGAAGTCATCCTCATCTTTACTTGTCACCTTGGCAAGGTAACTCCTCAAATATCGGCACATGGACTGAAAGGAACAGTTACAGCTACCAAGTTTAAAACCCACAATCATCTGTTACAGTCTTTACATCTGTTCGCGTTCAGATAATATCACTATGGTTTAAGTGAGCAAGATGGAATTACCAGACGGAAATAAATAAACATCTGCACAAAATAGAACCGACCAATTCATAAACACCCAAATGTATGCATTGCTGTAAATGTTCGATGACAGGTATATGCACACTGGAATGCCCTACCAGTTGTAATACGGAACATGCGTATCAAATGCGTCTTATTCGTAAGTAACTGTTCCATCATCGACAGTACTGGGTATTTTACAGCTGTTTCGGAACGTAACTTAAACGACATGCGTCATGGTTCATGTTACTATAACATCACATAAGTTTTATCAGTACAGCCTTCGTGTTTATGACTTATATAATTAGCTACACAACGTTATTGTTACCAATGTTATTCTCAGATCTAACCAGGTGAAGTCTGAGTCTGATGCATGGATAGAAAACCAATCCAGTATCACGTCAACCAATAGAAAAAGAGCATGGCTTCAAATTTCACATACATCTGGAAATATGGGAAACACCCATTCTATAATGTCTCATATCCCGTACCTCCGTATACCCTTTGGTAATATCTGTACAAATGGAAGTACATAATGAAGGGTTGTAAGGGACGCTGTATTTCTCCAGATGGACATTATAACAAGTCAAGTAAAGTAACAAAACATGTCATTGCTATACTATTGCTATTTAGTTTTACTAAACCTCTTGTTCAATAACTTGAAATCAGAAAACAAAATCAGATTTACCCGAGCTTCCGAGAAGGATCCCTTGGTTGTGGAGAACCAGTAGCACGAGGTTTTATATCTGACAAACCCAAGGGGGCATCGGTCTCCTGCAAGAGATAATACAATATATATATGCATGAGATATTGAATTAAGAGTGATGAAGACCAAAGATTACAATCCAAGATTTCAACTACGTCACCTTGTACGTGTATAAACATGCAAACACCGACAACCATCAGAGTGAGGACTTGGTGTGGAGCCATTGCAGTCGATAACGGGTAATGCTAGATAGAACGTTAGTCAAACTTATATACAAGATGCTAGGTGTGAAGATATTGATTTCAAAAGTGGGAACGGACACATGTTGATGATACGTGGCATAGGGATCTGGTATAAGTTACATCGATACTGGGGATTAAAATAAAGTATACCGAAACACAATTTACGTTCATAGAAGGCAATATTCCAGCTTTATGACGGCGGTCTGTAAATAATTGAGTCTGGACCAGACAATCCAATGATTGATATCATGATCATCGATCCACGCATAAGATGGATGACATGCATCAACCAAGGCAGCGATAGGATTACTATATTTAGATGTTGGTGTCGTGTGTAAACTTCCAGCCCGGTTGTCCGCGGACGGTAATAGTATGTTTGGAACGTTCCAGTATCTGGTTAGAGTATATAAGGGGACAAGAGCGTGTTTACGTATCTCGCACACATTTTCATCACGTCAAGACCAGCTTTCATGTGAGGATCGCTAATCATCGCTGACTCAATGCCTAGCCCATCACTGAAGCTCGACCACACTCGCCGCTGGGTGAATATATATATTATTATCACTGACTTTTGCTATCACCACTATAATTTTGTATTTCATACTGCCCACTGCCATCATAATATTTCTTGCCATTGTATATTGTACTACCACTCTAATGTTTACTGCAATTGTAATTGCTGAGCTGTAATTTGCATTGATTTGTAAACTCATTGAATTTTGTGCTACATTTGTTAGCGTATACCGCTTTTTCATTTCATTTACGTACAGATTTTTGGATTAACATATGGTTTCAATTTGGGAATCGACACGTAACAATTATATACAATACATTCTGTTGAATACACGAAATACCTCCAGAAAATGAAATGAGGAGAAAGCAAAACATCATCAGTTGCAGTTTTCTTTCTGGTTGTGTATCGGGTGTCTAACAGATCATCGTATATATAGTGGTTATCACGCGAGTGTGTTTGGGGATGGTTAGTATCCTATCATATAGTGTCATTCTTTAATTCTGTGCTTGAAAATCGCTTTCTCTCTATAACAAACATTACCGAAACATTGGAATGCGCGTATTAATATTTATTACGTCAAAGGGTAAGTGATGTGTCAGTCGGACAATGACAATAACCATAGTTCCAACTGAAATCTGTTTCTTATACAGTGGCGAAACAACATACACGCAAAACAACAATTTTTTTAATTGCCTTTAGCGGCAACCCATCGGTCTGCCCGCTAGAGTAACTGCCCTTTGTCAAAGGGAAGCTACTCTAACCCTAGTCTATGAGACGTCACTGCTACGTTCAGACGTTGTTGACAGTCGGCCTGTCCTGTCATAACGTTAAGAAGTGCAATCAGATGTACACATAGCGACACATCGAAATAAGGTAACAATTAAAACATACTTCGGCCAAATCCAACTATTTTAATTTGTGGAAAAGGTTTCAAGCCGCAGAGGTCTAAAAAGCACAGATATGGCTTCTGATCCCGCTTGTCTAGGCCTAGTGCCCTCGCAAAACTGTTTCGAAATTTATATCTCCAAAGTTGCCAAAACTTATAAAATGCCTTATTAGCTACGTCACCGTCAGACACTGATTTTCAGTATATTAGACTGTTCTTTTGATAGTGATAGCAATTACCCCCCTAGTTTATCCAGATTCCCGATGGTTAATTCTGACTCGATCGCCGAATGTGACGCCATGTTTGTTTAAACTGAACACTGAAAGTAGTCCTACTTGACCTTTGATATTTGCATCTCTCTCCGCATATGACACCAACGGATATCGTTTTTATCCGTTGGCTTTATCCTGCCGAGAAACCTACCCATTATATGATAAATAATGGCAACATTTCTGGGTAAACGAGGATGTCAGAAATAAAAGGCAACTCGTCTTCTACGTAAACGTATTATATCCATTTAAGAGTACAGCCGATTGATCATTCATGACTTCGACCCAGCAAAATAAAGGCAACAATATTCAGATAATTCATAACACTGGAGAAAATACAACGAGCACGCCACATCTGTCGGGTAATCACTTTAAACTAACCGTCATTGATCTGGACAATGTTGACAGAAAATAACTATTGTGTTTTGAAAACAGGCCAACCTCTTCAACTCTTCTCGTTCATTTTCATCTTTCAAATTGACCACATTTGTTTAGAAATTAATTTTTAAACGTCACGTCCAGGAAGAGGGTTGGGGTTTAACTCATCGGCTTCTACACTTCTTCATCATCGGCTTCCACGCTTCTTCATCATCGGCTTCCAAATCTTCTTCATCATCAGCTTCAAAACTTCATCATCAGCTTCCATAATTCTTCATCATCGTCTTCCACCATTCTTCATCATCGACTTCCACACTCCTTCAACATTGGCTTCCACACTTCTTCATCAGTTTCAATGCTTCTTCATCATCGGCTTCAACACCTCTTCATCATTGCCTTCCACACTTCTTCATCATCTGCTTCTACACTTCTTCATCAGCTTCCATGCTTCTTCATCATATGCTTCCTCACCTCTTCATAATCCACTTCAACACTTCTTCATCATAGGTTGCCACACTTCTTCATCAACGGCTTTCACACTTCTTCATCATAGGTTTCAACACCTCTTCATCATCAGCTTCCACGCTTCTTCATCATCTGCTTCCACACTCATTCATCATCGGCTTCCACACTTCTCTATCAGCTTCCACACTTCTTTATCATCAGCTCCCACACTTCTTCATCATCGCCTTCCACAATTCTTCATCATCGGCTTCCACACTTCTTCATCATCGCCTTCCACACTTCTCTATCAGCTTCCACACTTCTTTATCATCTGCTTCCTCACTCATTCATCATCGGCTTCCACACTTCTCTATCAGCTTCCACACTGCTTCATCATCAGCTTCCACACTTCATCATCATTGCCTTCCACACTTCTTCATCAGTTTCCACGCTTCTTCATCATCGGCTTCCACGCTTCTTCATCATCGACTTCCACACTTTTCTATCAGCTTCCATGCTTCTTCATCATCAACTTCCACGCTTCTTCATCATCTGCTTCCACGCTACTTCGTAATCGGCTTCCACACTTCTTCATTATTGGCTTCCACACTTCTTCATCATATGTTGCCACACTTCTTCATCATCTGCTTCCACACTCATTAATCATCAGCCTTCCCACTTCTCCATGAGCTTCCACTCTTCTTCATCAGCTGCCATGCTTCTTCATCATCTGCTTCCTTACCTCTTCATAATCCACTTCCACACTTCTTCATCATAGGTTGCCACACTTCTTCATCATCAGCTTCCACACTTCTTCATCAGCTTCCACACTTCTTCATCATTGCCTTCCACACTTCTATATCATAGGATTCCACACTGCTTCATCAACGGCTTCCACACTTCTCTATCAGCTTCAACACTTTTTCATCTTCTGCTTCCAAGCTTCTTCGTCATCCGCTTCCACACTTCTTCATCAACTTCCACACTCCTTCATCATCGGCTTCCACACTTCTTCATCATCTGCTTCCACACGTCTTCATCAGCTTCCATGCTTCTTCATCATCTGCTTCCTCACCTCTTCATAATCCACTTCCACACTTCTTCATCATAGGTTTCAACACCTCCTCATCATCAGCTTCCACACTTCTTCATCATCTTCCACACTTCTTTATCATCGGCTTACACACTTCTTCATCATAGGTTTCCACATTTCATCATAGGTTTCCACACTTCTTCATCATAGGTTTCCACACTTCTTCATCATAGGTTTCCACACTTCTTCATCATAGGTTTCCACACTTCTTCATCATCATCTTCCACGCTTCTTCATCATCAGCATCCACGCTTCATCATGTGTAACCGCTCAAAATCAAATCCTCAGATAGTTCCCCTTTGTAAGAATTTATATAGATCTACAAAATATTTCTAAATCCTGAGATTGTGAAGTAGATCTGTACATTTATTTTGTTTCTACTGTAATGTAATTATTTGTCTGTATTACAATTTGTTTTGTTGATAATTTGTATCACGTCCGTGTGACTGTAACAAATATTTCACTCAAATCAAGTCATTTGATAACTTTGTATTCTAAAACAGCCAATACGTCTTTAGCAGCAGAATATATGGTCTGAATTATATGATAGGCCATTTCATGTGATTCGAGTTCACGAAATGTGTATTCCGTTTAGGATTGAAATCATTCCTTAAAATGTTAGATAAACACGTCATGTATGGGTCTAAACACATTTTAAATATTAATGAAATCTTTTCTTCAACGGATAACCGAGACTGGTAATGCTACGGCGTTGACGTCTATATTTACAGAGTAAATACGGTAATCATTGACTAGACTGATATACATGCACTTACCTCATTACAAAATCGACTATACCCTTTCTATAGTCACAAGTCGATTGTACGATTCCGATGATATCATGAGCATGTGTGTATGAATCACTATCACATATGATACCAGTAATGATACCAGGTGTTCGCAAAAAGGTGAGCGTATCCTGCCCAAACGTTTTGAGGTGAGGTGAAATGGGGTTTAACGTCGCGTCCAAGATTATTGCACTTATATAGCGACGTGCATGCACGTGTGTGTGTGTGCGTGTGTGTGTGTGTGTGTGTGTGTGCTTGTACTAGTCCAGATTGATGCTGATATATATAAGGCTAGCACACTGAGATGCCATGCCGCAGTTTAACATGAATACCCCCATTCAGACACAGTATACTGACTCTGAGTCGGCCAGTCCTTGTTCTAGCCCCTTTATGCCGCGCGCCAGACAGCGTAATAACAAGTACCATCTTTTAACTCTTTTGGTATGACGCGGCCGGGGATCGAACCCCGGACCTTCCACTCTCCGGGCGGATGCTCTACCACTAGACCACGGAGGCGGTCCCCACCGTTTTAAAAGCTCAACTGAGCCTTTGAATGTTATTACCTTGATCAAACTTCTTTTGAGCAAGGGTTGCATGGCGCTCTTTGAAATCT